TATACGAGGGTTGGTCAATCTGATAACGAAATCCCAAGGTTGCCCCTGTAATTTCTCAGGCTATTTTCAGGGCAAGCTGGTTGTCCAATGATGCGCGCCGGACTGCGCATGACGTCTCCAATGCGGAATCAGGCGCTGGCAGGTCGTGATGCACCCCTGGGGGGAATTGATCTTGCAGCCTGTGAACATCCAAGAGAGGTCGAGATGTTGGACTGAGGACCTTACATGGATTACGTCAGGTGAGGTTGCTTTCGCTTTGCAATGGCTTGTTGTTTTGTTTCCTTTTCGTCCTGGGTGGAATACGTTCGCGTGGCTTGGCCAAAGTATTGTAGTTTACATCCCACTGGTATGTTTTTTGACCTTATTATGAAATCCATCACAAATCTGTGGAAAGATTCTGATTCAGGGCACTTCCTCGTCGCATTTCTGGAGCCGGCAGAACTACGAGAGCTTTAAGAACGCTTTATGGTAACATGGAAGATGTTGATTTGTACGCTGGCATTCTTACAGAACGTGCTGTGTCAGGAGGCATGGTCAGTGCCATCACAGCGTTAATTATCGAATAATGGTCAATAAAATAAGATAGCTACCGTCTTGTTTTCAGGTTGGACCGACTGCCGCAGAAATCATCGCTGATCAGTTCCGTAACTTGAAGGTCGCTGATAGATTTTATTACGAGAATCATGTGCAGGGAACGCAGGGATTCAACGAAGGTGGAATTTTTATCGTATTTCCTGGAATGATTTCTACATATTAGGAACTGGTCTGCTAAATATTTCACGTGCTTATTCTCCAGCCCTTTCGCTGCTGCTTTTTGAGCTAATTAGTTTCTATTCGTCCACCACAATGCCCGCAATTGATGGCTGCGCAACCAGAGAAGCTTCCACCATCTTGAAACTTTCTATGAAGTAAATGAGTTCTTAGCGCATTCCGAAGAAAAATGAAGTGGGAAGACTCCAAACACCAGTTTTCCGTATGCGCACCTTTCACCTCTCAGGAATTGAAAGGACGGTGAGTGTTTATTTGAGAACAGACATTTTTGATGGGACATTTTCCCAGTTCTAGACTGTACGGTGTCGAATCGCGTTGATTGTGCCAATCCTCACATCCTCTATATATATAATACCAGATTAGTCCCCCGTCAACCGCCGGGACCTTCCTTTCCTGCGCAAGCTTTCTATCCTCCGCTATGGTCCCTTCCTCCTGTGACACCAACACCTCTGGAAGTGACGCGTATGCAACACAATGGTGTTTCATACAGTAGAAGGGACACAATCATGATATGACGGTAGATTTTTCGCTTCCCTTCCTCATCCTCCCTTCCTCTCTCCACTGCCCTCCAGCTGCCACTGCAGCACCATGTGGAATGAACGGAAGTGTGCTAAGCAGGTGTTTATATAGCCCTAAGAGTGTTATCACAACTATCCTGCTACAAAACATTGATATCTCAAATCCTGTAAGCTACCCGATTTGTTAGCGGTTTGTTTATCCCATGAGCTTCCTTCTCACTCACTTCATTTTGCGGACGGACACACATACATACACACTCACACACACACACACACACACACACATACAGATACACAAACCGACACACAAAGTTAGCGCTTTATATAATAGAAGGATATATATAAAGCTAGAAGTTTGGGTGCTTGTGAGTCTGTCTGTTTGTAACCACTAGGCTCGCACGCTACGTAGACCCAAGAAAACAGTTAGAGCATGGTCCCGGATGGGTAGGAAGTTGCCCCTAGGGCGTGTAGGGTGAAGGCTTGGTTAGAAAGGGTATGGTAGTGGGCGGAGCCCGGTCAGGTGGGCGGGGCTTACGCTGAAATCTTCGCAGAAAAGGCTAAAACTGAGCAGTTTCGCATGCGCTGTGATCTAACCCTCTAGAGTGGAACATCCGCTAGTTGTCATCATGCTTACTGTTTCAGGTGAGCTTGCCGAAATCCGAAAAATGACCTTAGCTCGACTGGTCTGCTCGAACACCGAGGGTATGGTGTCGGTCAGAAGAAAAATTTTTGAGCTGGGGTGAGTTTATCGATTTCAAAGTTAACTATTGACTATAATGAAAACCGTTTCAGCAGTCCTTTGGTGGCGTGTCATTCTCTTCCACATATCGATTTATCTCTGTTTGTTTGACGAAAGTACAACATCCTTCACAGACGGACTGTTCTAATAATATTGTATAATATAATGTTATATATTTATATGCGATAAGTTGTCAATTATGGAATCAAATCAATAAAATTTTCTGTCATTCGTAGGAAGTGGCATGGAAACGACAACAGCTTAAGGGCAAGACCCTAAGTAGAAGTTGTCTGAACGGTCCTCTCTGGTCTGAAGGATAGAGCCCATGAGGGCAATCTCAGATGTGGCACTCCCGTGCATGGAACTGACCCGACAAGGAGCACTAAGGCCTTGCAAAGTTAGCTGCAGCAGCTGCAATGCCCGTCGCAGCAGCTGTTGTCTGGCGCCCTCTCATCTGTTGCGCTCTCTCGCCTCATACTCTTCTCGCTTAGTCTCTCATTCCCTTAGCACAGCCGATTAGGAAGGTGAGTGAGCCCCAACCTGAGCGTTTTCGACGGATTCTTTTCCTTTTTTCTTTACTGCCGGCCCATTTCGCACCGATACATTCGCATTCGTGTGCAAGAACCACACCGATTTGATCCTGGGCATGCCTTCCAAGCAACTCTAGATCAAATTGGCTGGGTAGCAGCGGTTGATAATGAAACTGCGGATGCCGGGTTGACTGACAACAAAAAAAAGAAGCAAAGCAAACCGTTGAGGAAGCTCAATAAGGACTCCCCACCCTCCGCTCCAATTAAGAGGTGGGCGTGTCGGACGAGTTGTCCAAAGTTGATTGCTCCATTACACCGGTAACCCGCGCGAATTTAGTTAGCCGCTCCGGCAAAATCCACGTTGCGTGTCATTGTGCGCGAGGTATCTCATTCATGAGTTCTTAGTAATTTTTAGATCACTTCGTAGGACCTAAGCGCCACCTCTCGCACGCCTTCAAACCGCGACAACGGCGTAACTCTGATACTCAAGGCTGCCCCACCCAAAACAATCGATTATTTGACACAGCCTCATTTGGGCTATTGGTTAAAGGAGGAATTCACGATTAGAATGAAGGTCGAAGAAAGGGAAACTGACCTAGTTGAGGGACCCACGGACCTCCTGAGGGTGCGAACTGACGCGCAATTCGCATGGAAAAATTTGACCTCGGCGACCTATCATGCCTCAAAGCTGGCGGGTCCGGCGATCTCCGCCCACCGATCATCTGATCACTCGCCGTAGTTCAATACGTGGCGAGTGATTAGATAGCTGAGAGAGCGTAGTGTTGAAGAGGGCACAGCGATGAGAGTCGCATCAATGCTCAACGGGCAAGGAAGGGGTACCATTTCTCGGGTTCTGGGCCGTTTCTCATGGTTCTTCCTTCTTTCGTGTACCACTCACCATCCCTAGGTTAATTTGAAATGGGTTGCTTTTTCATCGTGAATTCGTCCTTTAAGAACAGAAGGTACTTTTGCATGGAATATCACTGCTTTATAACATAGTTCCATGAAATTTGTAACTTAAATGAATAGAAGGAACTGCTGCGGTGTTCTACAGAGTATTGTCCATGTTGCGGACACACACGCAATGGAAGAAGCAGAACTAACATTTTTTGCAAGCACAGTGATCACATTGAAGTCGCTGCAAGTCACGATTCAAAAGATTGAGAATGGTTTTCAATAGGATTGTGAACACTGCAGATAGCAGTGTTTGCTCTGCAACGTGCTCCTGTACGCCACATGCGTCGGTGAAGGAGATTTCTTTAGGCAAGGTCTAAATTTTCTTGAAACATTACAAAATTGACAACTAGTGGACAGTGTTGGACCATGTGGATGTACTGCAACACAACATGTGCTTGATGAGACGCGAGACCTGCGACTCTGCAGAAGACAATACCAGAGTTAGCCTGAGAAGGATGACCATAAGCGATGGAGTCCCAAGTCAATGTGGAGAGTGGTCTTTCAAAACAACTGATTACAAGCCATTGTACGCTGCACAAGCGCCACTGCCCAATCGAACTAGAGAAGCATAGCAGAGACAAACACTGGTGCCAAGGGCCGAAGAAGCTACTACGTAGCCCCACCATCCTCTTCACAGAAAATTACGCTGTGGAGCAATCTCAAACTTCGAATTGCTCATAGAGCGAAGGAACTCTCGCTTTTTGAGAGCAGCGAAATTTTGATGGAGGTTTTCAGGGAGTCTCAACGACGGTCGCTCACATGGGTCACTGCCTTTTAAAGTTTTCAACTCGATATTAATTACGAATTAATTATTAATACGACAAGCTAGACCTAGACCTGGCTAGGGAACACTTTAGTGCACCATTTACTACTAAGGTATCTGAGCACTTTTGAGGAAGGACGTTCTATTCAATAGGATCCAGGATCTGCATAGGAGGCAATAAATGTTCAGAAGCCGTGTTTAGCTACTCTTCCGATTTCACTTGGCCTAACCAATGGCACTCCTACCCCTTGATATCCTCAGGTTTTGGAGAAAACCTATGTGGGCTATGTTAAGGGCGGCAGGTCAAGCCTCTGAGCATTGCATCTACATGGATGCCGGAGCCTTTTCTCTGTAACGTTTCAAAGAGAACACCCCAGGATGCCATACGTGCCATAGTAGAGTTGCGTTCGAAGCAGCTGGGAGCCATACCACAGCGTCAAAGGGGCACACCCAATAAGGGGAAGACGGTCAATTCAATCGTCAGCTAATGAGGTCACGCCGCTCACGCGGCGAGCATCGTCGCGCGCGGCAGTTGGAGCGGCGATTTCTGTGTGGACCTTGTCTTAAACCATCCATGTCCATAAGTTGGCTAGGTGACTGATAAGATTAGAGTGCTAGACATCAGTAAGCCAGCAAGCGTCATCTTAAGATCTCCGCAATGATTTAAGCCTCACAGTGCAAAGGTTGTACCATGTAAAGGTTGTCCTTTTGAATTTAATTCGACTTCTTTATTAATCAGCTGCCTGAATTTCTATCAGGGAGTGATAATCTGGTTCAACCAGAAAGAACATCACGTTCCAAGACACAGAGGGACGGTGAGGAAGGCGCTGACATAAGCATGATAGGATAAGTTTGTAATAATAGCAAGGGGCGAAGAAACTGCATTTCAAGGGGTTAGGTGATTCCTATTCCATGTTTCATGACTGGAAACTTCATCTAATCTTACATTCCCCAATGTTTGGATGCTGAGTTCTTTGCGAATTCGCCGCGTCATCGCGGGCTGCGGCGGCTGGCGCGGCGACCTAGCCACTGCCACGATTGAATAGTCACGCACCCCCAATAAGCAATTTCCTTTCATCACTCTTCATTATATAAACCAGAAGTTTGGTGTGTCGGTTTGTTTGTGTGTATGCACGTCTGTCTGTCCGTCCGCAAAATGGTCGACTAGAGGCGAAAGATATCGTGATTGTGATAACATTTCCTACCAGTATATAAACAACCATTCAGTAAGGTCGAATTCATTTCAGGAGGGTGGCTGTGGCTGTGTGAGTTGAGTCAGGTCTGTGGAGGGTCACCGCGCGACGTCGTACATACGTGCGGCTTGCCGCGTGCCGGAAACCGTGCGACAAATTTGAGCGAGATCTACGCGTTTGATGCTTCACGCGCATGTGTATTCGCCAGCTACTTTTCTTTGTTTCTTTTCTCTTTCACTTTTGTTATGTGGGGTGGTACCTGGACATTGTGATGGGTGACAAAGACAATAGCAATTGATAGAAGCTGATAAGGAAACTTTGAAGGCAAAAGACGTGAGTGCGGTTCGCAGTCCACGTTAACAGTAGTGTGTTCTTACTCACAAGTGTTATGGGGGTGGGACGTGGACATTCCATCGTTATAACCAACTTAGCTTGAGCAGATTCCTGGCGAAGTGGTGCATTTTATTCTTGATCTAATACCAAGGAGACCAGAATTCATTCAATGACCGCTAAACCTTAGGATTTTCGAACACTGTGAAGAAAGATAAGCATTAGAAGCCCAATTATTATAAGTGAGCATGTTTCATTTTAATTTTGAGGCTAACAGCATAACCCTATTCACCGCTAAATTATCAGAATTCAGGAGAAATGCTCAGTGTTTACAGGCTATGTGTGATAAAACCTGGAGAGCCCGCGGAACCTTAGGTCATGTGATACGCGCGATACCGGGCGGAGCAAAGCTGGTATGTAAATGAATTGCTAAAATTTTTGTAAAACCTTTTGAAGACACATCCATTCGGAGAGAAGTCACAAGTAAAGAAAAGTGATATTTATGGGACCCCCATGCATAGTACCAAGGGATGTGGCACGATAAGGGCGATCACACCAGGATAGGCCACCGCCGAAGAGGCGTTTCGGGCGCGAGCTGCCGGTAAGCAGGGGGGACTGCCTTGTCCTTGCACCTTGCTGTAATAAATTCCCTCATTACACATCATTTTTTATTCCTTTATTGGGCATCGTGTAGCGAGATCACGTAGTTACTGTATTTTAAGCACCTCAAGATGTCGTAGAACATTCACGTACACACTTGGGAATCATGGCTGGCCATTGTTTAAAAGAATTCAACGAAAAAAGCGAAATGGATAAGGGCAAGAGCAGCTGTTTTTGTGTTCTTATCAATGCAATTGTCAAGGCGGTCTAATTGCAGTTCATAAGCAACTTCAATAGTTAACATTAGAACCTTTATTCAAAGGTACGAACATTTTTATATTTTAAAAGAGATGACTTTTTCGTTGGATTTTTTTTGAAGTAGGTGATTCAGTTCAACTTAATGAGGAATCCCAAGACGACAGCACAGATGACCGAAACGAGTACGCATACGAAAATCCATGGAGATGAAGCACTTGAGTACTGAACACTTATCTTTATTAAAAAGTTTTGAACTCTAACTAAAAAAAGTATTTTTTTTGATAAATGTTTTTTGATAGGACTAAAAACACTAGGACATCTTACCTCAGCAGGTGTCATCACATCGTGTTGAAGTTGATCACATCTGGGTACGGTACAATGTTGTGACAAAGCACTGACATTCACCCACGAATGGCGTGATGAGAACTACAAAATGGAACCTTTTGCCCTTATCTGAGTAAATCACAGTGGCCATCAGCA